GAGAATTTCTGCATCTGAGATGAACAGCCCAGAGGGTTTCAGGAGAAATGGTGGAGGGTCGAGGCGATAGGAGAGAGGTAGAGGAAAATACTGGTTTGTCAACTCTCTGATACAGCAAGTTAATCCATGCCTCGACTCCTGGCCTATAGGAAGCCTAGAAGCTCATCCAGTCCAGGAGACAGAGCCAGGAAGTTGAGTGGTTATAGGCACAGGCTCAGGGGCCACCTATCTGGGATTAAATCCAAGACCCTACAGTGGGTTGAATGGTGGCACCCAAAAGATATGCCCATGTCTTATTACCCCCAGAACCTATGATTGTAACCTTAATTGGAATAAAGGGTCTTCATAGATTTAATTAAGTTAAGAATCTTGAGATAAGAACACCCTGGATTGCCCAGATAGGCCCTAAATCCAATGACAAGTGTCCTCAGAAGAAAAGAAAAGAGAAGACAGAGGCAGATATTGGAGTGATGCAGCCACGAGGAATGCCTGGAGCCACCAGAAGCAGCAAGGAAGGATTCTTCCCTAGAACCTCCAGAAGGAGCGTGGCCCTGTCAGCACTTTGTTTTCATTGTTCTGGCCTCTAGAACTGTAAGAGAATAAACTTCTGTTGTCACTGGCCACCTGACTTGTGGCCATTTGTCACAACAATCACAGGAAACTAATATACCTGCTTACTAGCTGTACGCCCTTGGACAAGTCACTTAATCTGTTTGTGCTTCAGTTTGTCCATCTGTAAAATAGGGATGACAATGATAGCATCTACCTCGAGGTCATTGTGAAGTTAAAGGAGATAATACAGAGAGAGGTCTCAGCACAGTGCCTGTCCCGTGGTGTTCAGTCAATGTAAACACTTGCTCTTAGCATCAGAAGCCCACCTGGGGAAAAAAAAAAGAAGCCCACCTGGGGAGCCCATTTTAAAAAATGGGTTCTCCAGGCCTTACCCCAGAATCACTGAAAACAAATTTTAGAGCATAGAATCTAAGAATCTGTACTTTTAAGGCTCCCCATCTGACAGGTTAGAAACCATCCGTGAGCTCCACGACAGAGTCTCTGCTGTTTCTGGAAAGCTGCCCTTCCAGATACAGATTTCACATCTGTCCTTGGTAACCCAGTCCAGTACTAAAGAACCTTAGCGGTAAGGAAGTCCTAGCTTTTGCCTACTCCTAACCCCCCATCACGCAGCTTCATTCCATTTCCCTGCAGAGGTAGAAAGACCTTGGTCATGGTGAAAGCACCCAGTCCAGGACAAGAAAGGAAACTGCAGGGAGGTTTTCAGTGGAAAAAGCAATCAGCAGTGAGAAGCCCAGCCATGGTTAGTCTGGGATGGAATCTGAGATGAGCAAAGACAGACTGCAGTTGGGGTTTCTCCAGCTCCTGCCCCATTACGTGCAGGCTAAACCCTCAACACAGCACCATCTCTGGGGAGCAGGGCCCTCTGCCTTCCTCTGGCCACTCCTCAGAACCAGGTGGCAGGGGCAATTGGAGAGCAGATCTGCAGCAGCAGAAAGCCAGCTCTGAGTGTCAAGGCAGCCCACGTAGGCAAGGGAGCTGCAGACACTGCAAATGAGGTTCTGGCTAATGGTGATAATCGTGCTGATCAGGATGAGAGACGCCCAGCACAGGCAATGGCCTCCCATCACCGGAAACCTAGGGGCTGATTTTGTTGGGGGGGGGGGGGGTGGGTTTTTTTTTTTTTTTTTTCTGATTTTGTTTTGTTTCAGCTGTGGCCTTTGGAAAGGGATCACTACTTCTGAGCAGCAGGAACAAATATCAGCCCATCACATAGCTTCAAGCCCGAAGCAGCCCCAGGAGATAAACAGGGTGAGCTAGGGGAAGAGGAAAACTAGAAAAAGAGGAGCCAAGCCCAGCAGGGGAAAGACTGAGGCAATGGAGGGCGCAAGCCAGAGTCTGGCCCAGCATCTGCTACTGATGGTGCAGCCTGTGTTTCTCTAAGTGTGACCTGGCACCAGTGTAAAAAAAAAAAAAAAAAAGTGGTACAAGCAGCAATTTTGGGTGGTACCCAGAACACGTCTTACTTGCATATGCATTAGACCCCAAAAAAGCAAGCTAGTCTATCAAACCTGCAATTTCACAGATATGTTTGCTTAGAACAAAACCAAGTAAAGGAAAAAGAGTCAATAAAATGAAAAATATCATACCAATACATAAATAGTTGGGTATAAAGAAGTGCATGGGAGGGGCTTCCCTGGTGGCACAGTGGTTGAGAGTCCGCCTGCCGATGCAGGGGACACGGGTTCGTGCCCCGGTCCGGGAGGATCCCACATGCCGCGGAGCGGCTGGGTCCGTGAGCCATGGCCGCTCGGCCTGTGCGTCCGGAGCCTGTGCTCCGCAACGGGAGAGACCACAGCGGTGAGAGGCCCACGTACCGCAAAAAAAAAAAAAAAGAAGTGTATGGGAATGACAACTGGTTACACAGGAGGAAGACTGGAATCAGGGAAGAAATACCTAGGGGTCTACAATTATATGGGTAAGGTATCTTTTCTGAAATTGAGCAGGGAGTGTAAGGGTGATCACTAAATTATTTTTTATACTTTTTTTTAGGTCTTATATATTTCACATGTTTTTAGAAATATAAAAGGTATGCAGGCATGGCAAAGTGGGTACTGTTATTGGCCATGGTCCATAGGTCACTGAGAAGTCCAGAGCAACCAGGAAGACAGCTTGGCATTTGTGTGGTCTGCCTGGGAACTACAGAGAAGCCACCGCACAGTGGGCCCAATCTCCTGGGGAAGCTCAAGGCACACCACATTTTCCCCCAGGGTCCCCACTAATGGGAGTGGACCCCACCAAGGCTTTCCCCAGCCCACACCAAGGCCCAAGAGCCTCCTGCTGTGTAACCCTCTCTGAATCAGAAAGACTTTGGGGTCAGGGCCACCGCAGCAAGTTGTGTAGGTTTGCAATGCAGTACTCAGAAAGATCTGGGTATGCAGAAAACTGAAAAGGAGGTGCTAGATTCAGTAGCAGACTCTGGTCTCCCTACTCCACAGGCCTGGTCCTTAGATGACCCAACCAGAGCACATTAAATGCAGCTCATGCTCCTGCAGAAATTATCACAAACTCTGAGAAAGCCAGTCACCAAGACAGCAAGGATTCAATTTCCCTCCTCCTCTGTGCAGAATACTCTCAGGCAAATATCCCATGATGACAAACAAAAGCAGTAAAAGGGGATCTGAGGGACAGAATGCATTAAAACTCCCTGAAAAGCGTCCACGCCAGCTTGACAGACACCAAACGTGCAAAAGGAACAGCAACACAATTAGAAAAGGCAACTCCAGGCCTTCTAGGCATGTACCCCCACCCCCCAGGCGGGGTTAGCAGCCCCTCCCACGCAGGGCTCCTGCCCACCACGCACGCCCCACCCACCCTGATCCTCCTGGCTAGGAGTTAGCTGCTGTCAGGGGCCAGAGCTAGAATGAAAACACATTGATCTTCTGCAACTGGAGATTTCACGTCTGGTCCCCCCACTAGACTGTGAGCAACTGGAGGGCAGAGGTCGAGTCTTATTTCCCTTTATATCCTCTGAGCCTGAGCCTGACGCAGGACCTGGCACACAGCAGGCTCAGTTAACGTTGGTTAAAATAACAGGCGGATGGAAGAATGGTGAACACGTGTCCTGATTTGGCCAGAATAGTCCCAGGTTTCAGAGAATATTCCTAAAGAGTCAGACGCTACTACAGTTCCCCTTGCAAAGCAAGAAGAGCTTTAAAATGCTTGCTGAGTTATCATACTCTCACTAAGCTGGGAGTGTGGTTATCCTCAAAACCAGCGGTTGCTCAATAGCTTAAGAGTTGAAACTCCCAAAGCAATCTACTGATTCCTTTGGAGGGTCTACACTCTCCTCCACTGGGGAGTGCAAAGTCCAAATATTTGTTGAATTAATAACTCTTTGGTTGATGGGTTAAATAAGTAAAGGAATCCCAGGGAGAAGGCTCTATTGCCCTTCTCTCTTCCTCTGTTTCCCAAGCCCACCCCAGGCAGCATCACAGCCTCAGGGCTTGCACCAGAGGGCGCGGACCATAGGGAGAAGCTGCACAGGCATCTTTGGTTCTACTTTCTATCCAACTTGGTGCTTATCCAGGTTGCAAGTGGACAAAAAGGGAGACAACCAAGTATAAAGTGCAAAGAACATGAGATTGGGCAAGATCTGGATGTCCAAGACCAAGTCTGCGATCTGCCAAGACCTGCAGGGGGCTGGGGGGTGCCTGAAGAAGTAACACCCTGCTCTGGGCCTCCAGTTCCACATGTGTACATTAGAGGTTTGAGTTAGCTGATGCCAAAGATGTCTTTCCCAGGTTCAATGGAATGATTATAAATAGCCATCACCTTCCCTGAGCTCCTCATTCTGCTCCTCTGACCAATACCCACTGGTCAGAAGTGGAGTCCATTTTCCCCCAAAATACCCTACCACGTGCCATAATTCTAAAGGTAGACAGCACATGACTCCTCCCTCTAAATGCAGATTTCAGTAATGCTGAAATTGTCAGCCCATATTCAAGCCCGAAGCAGCCTGTGTCCCTATACAAGGTCAGGTGTAAAGGTTAGCAGGATTTAATGGGCACAAAAGGTTCTTACAGCAAATTTAAAGCTACCTCCCCTTCCGAGGGTAAGTGCTGCAGGTAAGCCTCCTTTCACTAAGTTTCAGGCAAGCACGTGGAGGGAGCCCCATTAGAGGTGTAAGGCTCCTGACCTCTCTCTTCCCTCTCCCTCCCGCCCTGTGGGAGGAGGAATCCTCAACCGGATTGGTGAGTTTGGGAGAAGAAACAGCTCACCTCTTCCTCTCTCCTCCCTTTTGGGATCTGCAAACCTGCAGAACACTGGTATTCAGTCCCTCCCTGCCCTAAGAGGCAGGCCCCCATCTGAGAGGCTTGTCCTGCCACGTCTGTGCCTGGGTAGGCAAGTCTATCAATTTCAGGGGTGAAGTTCAACAAGCCCACTTGTTCACAGGCCCAAGACATGTGACCCAGCCGAACACTTACCAGTAATAAAGCTGACATTTTGATCTCTACCTGGCAGAGTCCTGCATCTCCTTGGTTCTGCTTCTTGGGCAAAGAGGAAAAGAGTATTTACATCTTTACCTCCTAAGCCCAAATATTTATTAAGTACCGTAGTAACTAATATGACGCACACATACTGCACACCTGAAGCATCCCAGGAAGCATACCACAGGAGCTCAGTGACCTGCTCCATAAACAAGAAACTGAATTCAGCTAAAGATTCCCAGTCACAGCAACAATCAAGGTCCCCTGCCTATATTAGGACTCCGATTAAGAAAGGAAAAGGCACATGCGATTTCTCTCACTCTCTCACTTTATCCTCTCCACACACACACACACACACACACACACACACCACTTTTTTACTCATTGTCTAACTCAAAGCAGAAGCTCAGAAAATATTCAGTAACTGATGACTTTAAGCATTCTCATTCATTAACGGCTTAACAAAACTTTACTCTAGAGCTTTCCAGGGCTCCCTACTGTCCATGGTATAAAACTTGGCCTTTAGTCCCTCTGCAACCTACTTCTGATTCTGTTTGCCAGTATAACCCTTCACTCACTCATAACCTAGTCTCCAGTAACACTGAACTACTCTCTGCTTCTTACAGACAATCGCCAAAATTTTACCCATCAGCCTCAGCCCAGATCACCTTGTCCCCAATGCTACATGTTCCTATCTTACGCATCTATCCAAACCCAGCTCAAATACCCCCTTAATTCATCTTGAGCCGCTCTCTCTGCTCTTGTATGCCTTAGGGGTGTTAACTAATTTGGGCTATACTAGGGTTTAACAAATAAGTGAATATATTGTAGATAACAGGCATTCTCACTGTTGGAGAAATAAGTTACATATAAGGAAAGGGAGAAGGCTATAATGAACTCTGTGAGTTTAGATTGAAATTAGAGGTATCAGCATGAGCTCATGTTTTTTTAATAGACAGATGTGTTTATGCATGAATAAGTATACATCCATATATTTCCTAGCTATGTCTCCTGGAAGAGCCTAGAAACAACAGCACCCCAGTAGCAACATGCATCCACATCTTGGTTTCTGAATACCATTCTCCAATAAAAGGAAACAGGGCTCCTTGGAGAAGTGACTGATTCCAGGGATTGGGCAATGAAAATACAAGATGAGCCTGGGGCAACTTGTGGTACCAGAAAGTTAAGACAGTGCTGAAAAAATGATGGGGCATATCAAAAGAACACAGGAGACAACCTGAAGAAGCTCCCAATGGCCAAAGTCAGAACAATTTGAGTGATAAAAAGAAATAATGATTATTTTGGACTCTAACCCATAGAATAAAATAAATATCCATGAGTTGATACTGATAAAAATAAACAAATAACTGATTGAGAAGGGACAGCTATTTCTTGTAGAATAATTCCAATTAATACATGTAAAAATAAGAAAAATAGAAAATAATTAACTTGTTCATTAAAATGATAAGGAGCCATCAAGGCAAACTGTGCTTCTAGGTCTCCTCTCTGGCTGGTTAAATAATCCACAGTACTTAATTAAGTAAAGCTTCTCATCTCTGTTCTTACAAACTTAGCTGGGGCAAAGACCCACTTTACAGTTAGGGAAGTAGAGGTGTTTGGTGACAGACCAGGAGCTCTAGGTCCAAAATGGCTCACATTCTACCCAGCACCATCATTCTATCTCCTCATCCTCCATGGGCCTTGGAATTTCTGAATTTCATTTCTTTCCTTGAGTTACTGGTCCTTCTGTGACCTATCAAAACACTAATTACGCTTCCCCAAGAGTTTATCAGAACTCATTTGGCTGCAAGGAACAGAAAACTGAACTCAAAACATCTTAAACAAAAAGAGAATTTCCTGACATAAATAACTGAAAAGTCCAGTGGTAGTCTAGCTTAGGACTCAAATATATCTCTCCACAATACTGGCTCCATTCACAGATGGGCTCTCCCCTCGTGGTGGCAAGATGGCTGCCAGCAGCTCTAAGCCAACATCTGATACTCTCAGCTAATCCAGCAGAAAAGACAGTGTCACAGGGGGGACACCCCCAAAAGTCCTGGAGCTGATTTAAGTTCACTGACCAGCACTGGCTTAGATACTCATCCTTGAATCAATCACTAGGGCCAGAGGAATGGACTACACTGATAGCCAAAGTCACACGCCCACCCTGAGGGTGGGGTGAGCTACACTCAAACCTCAAGGCATGTATATGAGATAGGAGTGGTTCCCCAAAGGAAAGTTTAGATGCTGCTCCCTAAAACAAGAATGGCTCCTGTGCTGCAAAATTAACATATGTCCACTACACCTCGACTCCTTGGTCAGAATCAACTCAGTCCTGCCTCCTCCAGCCCATCGTCTGGACATCTGTACCAGCATTGACTTCTTTCTGCTTCAGGCACAGGCAAGTTCACACCCGTCCTTTCTGGGCACCAGGAGTCTTGTTCTCCAAAGCACCTGGGTCCCGCCCCACGCCCTCACTGCCTAGCAAAGTGCCACTGTGCCCCTAGAAAACACACCTTCACGCTGGCTCCCACCCCCTCTCGAAGAAGAGCTGAGTCACTGCGATCCCAGCCAGCTGAGCACTAACCTTGAAAGTGCTTCTCGAAGTCACTGCCTGCCAAGCTCCTGGCTCTGGCGGGCTCCGGGACCTGGGGACACTGGCTTAACAGGTGAGATAATTATGTTTTACCCGTCACTCACTTCTTTATCAGTCTCATAGACCAGAACAGATAAGTGCTCCGATGCAAGAAAACACTTCTGTGGTATTTACTTGTGCTCTTTAGTGCTGGCCGGCTCTCCCTTCCCAGGCACAACTCCCAGGGACCAGCCTGCACCCTGTTATCTGGTGCCAGTCACCACGCGCTGCTGCCCTCTTGTCAACTGCCAGACTGTACTTTCCTAACTGCATTCCCCCAAGCTTCTCCAGGACCTGCAGCACCAGTGCTTTCCAGATGACTTACACATGAAGGGCAACTGTCTTCACGACATCCATCCCCCTGTCTGCTCTGCAGATTCCTCAAGGCAGAGGGCTTGCCCCTGTGCCCTGGCCTGGACCTCTCTGCAAAATGTGGCTCTGGTGGGTTCCAAGGTCCATAGCATTGGTTAGATGGAGAAAAGGGGGTAGGGAAAAGCAGGGGGCATTAGGTCTCAGAGACAAGGACTTTGAGATCTTCCAATACAAACTAACATTTCATTCATTCATTCATTCAACAAACCTTTATTTAGGAGCTACTGTGTCCTGGGTACTGTAGTAGGTGCTGCAGAAGTGAAGATACACAACATAGACCAAGTCTCTTTCCTCATGGAGCATACCTTCTAGTAGACATCTGACTTATTTTTGATACCTGCTTTATTTACATTTACATTCACAACACACTGTCTCAGATACTATCCATATAATCCTCAGTACGTGGTATAACTGTCTGTAGTCCACAGACCCCAAAAGTTTGAATGACCTTCTCAAAGCCAAGGCACAAACTCAGGTCTTCTGACTACAAACCTTACTCTCTTTCTGGGGCCTCTCCCAAGGCAGGGAGCTAGCAGGGTACAGCCTGGCATTGAGACAGACAGTAACTCAACTCAGTCCCAGGCATCACTGCTAGAGATAGGAGATGTAAAAAAGAAAGACCCATCCCTGATCTAAAAGAATTTATGGTCTAAAGAGAGAGAAAGACACATAACCAACTATCATCTATGACAGGAATAAAGAACATAGAGTGGTTAAATCCAAATAGGAAGATCTCTCTGGAAAGATATACAAGAAATAATGATCACCTCCAGGCAGAAAAATTGGGTACCTGAGAAACAGGGATAGGAGGGTCATTTTTTATGTTCAAATGTTATATATTTTGAATTGTGTACCGTTGAATTTACTTCTCATTAAATGACACTGTGAGGATGCAATCAGCCAAATGCTGAATGTAGGAAATTCCACAGGATAAATGATCTGGTTTCTTCAACAAGCAAATAGCTCCCCAAAAAAGCAGGGAGGGGAAATATTATAGACTTAGAAAGATTTAGGAAACATCAGCCAAACATAATATATGAACCTTGTTTGGATCCAGATTTGAATCAACTTAAAAAAGAAATTTTGGGGACAACGTGGAAGGTTTTTTTTTAAATAAATTAATTAATTTATTTATTTATTTTTGGCTGTGTTGGGTCTTTGTTGCTGCCCGTGGGCTTTCTCTAGTTGTGGCGAGCGGGGGCTACTCTTCCTTCCAGTGCACGGGCTTCTCATTGCGGTGGCTTCTCTTGTTGCGGAGCACGAGCTCTAGGCACACGGGCTTCAGCAGTTGTGGCATGCGGGCTCAGTAGTTGTGGCACACGGGCTCTAGAGCACAGGCTCAGTAGTTGTGGCTCACAGGCTCTAGAGCACAGGCTCAGTAGTTGTGGCTTATGGGCTCTAGAGCACAGGCTCAGTAATTGTGGCACACGGGCTTAGTTGCTCCGCGGCATGTGGGATCTTCCTGCACCAGGGCTCGAACCCGCATCCCCTGCATTGGCAGGCGGATTCTTAACCACTGCGCCACCAGGGAAGTCCCAAAAAGGAAGATTTGAATATGGACTAGCTACTAGAGGTTATTAAGGAATTATTATCAATTTTGTTAGGTATGATCATGGTACTGTAGTTAAGGTTTTTTTAAGGTCCTTATCTGCTAGAGATACATTCTGAAGTATTTACAAATGAAATAATATGACGCCAGAGATTTGTTTTTAAATATTTCAGCAAAAAATAATAATAAATAAATAAATGAATAAAGAAGTAAATGAAGGAATGAATAAATAAAGGGAAGAGTAGATGAAACAAGATTGGCAAAAGGTTGATAATTTCTGAAGCTGGATGACAGTTCCATAGGGGCTCATACTACTCTACCCTTATGGATGGTTGAAATTTCCATAATGAAAAGTTTAAATAAAAATTAATTATTCCAGCCACCTAGGATGACTGAGGAGGAAAGTGTCACAGAGGAAAGGTATTTGAGCTGAGTCCTGAAGGATGACTAGGAATTTTCTAAGGGGCAAAGGGCCTTCCAGGCTGAGTAAAGATACACAGATCTATCACAAACCTCTCTCTGGGAGAACCAAAGTTATATACACTTGACCTCAAACTCAACTTACATCCCACACAAGTGCCCTCTTGCTTAATCCCCCAACTCTCTGGGACATGTAGACATAGCACCAAAATCAACTATCCTGTTCCAAACGAGAACAGAGTGTGTGGTCGACAGCTCCGCTCAGAGGCCTACAATAGGCCCCGGTGTAGCCTTCAGAGGACAGGAAGGCAATTAACCTCTCTCAGTTGGGTTTTGCCTGACAAGGCAGTTTGGAAGCCAGCTGAGTTATCTCAGGGACAGAGCCTTCATCCCTCCTGAGTCATCCCAGACGCGTGCCCTCCCTAGACACACACACCAGCCTCCCCAGCAGCACCTTATAGATTTATAACCTCAGTACTGGGGGGTCCAGCTTGATGGCAGCTTGGCAGCCCAGCCCATGGGCACTAAAACATGCCCCCTCCTTCCTCCCAAGCCCCCAGCCTCAATCCCTACACTGCCCCCGCCCACCTCCAGCTGCACTCAGGAAGCTTGCTGGCTTTGCAGTCACTTCAGGACTTGTCCAGGCCTGGCCTAGCTCAGATGGATCCCACAGGTCCCTTACCTTGGATCGAAGCTGCAAGTATTCCTCTGAACCATAGGGGACACTCCTCAAGGAGGTAAGATAGTCGTAACTGATGACAGCTGTCTGTGAACCAAGGAAGAGGAAGGCTTAGCACCAGACATCATACTCCTCTGTCCAAGGCCTGCAGCTGCAGCCCCCTGACACAGGTGGTATGTCTAGAGAAACAGTCCAACCTCTAAGAGGCCCTGCCCCCAGATTTCGATCTGGCTGGCTTCTTCCTGTCATTCAAGGCTCTGCACAAATGCTACCCCTGCAGAGACCCTCAATCTAAAGTTACCCCCATCCACCAGGAACTCCCAATTATTTATTATAACAAACTACCATCCAAAATTACCTTGCTCATTTGTTTCCTTGTATATGGATGGTTTCCACTTCACTAGAAATTAAGCTCTATAAGCTCAGGGGCATGTCCTTCCTGTTCATCATCGTATCCCCTGCACCTTTCACAGTGCCAGGCTACTCTTAATTGCGGTGCACAGGCTTCTCGTGGTGGCTTCTCTTGTTGTGGAGCACGGGCTCTAGGCGTACGGGCTTCAGTAGTTGTGGCACGCGGGCTTGGTAGTTGTGGCTTGCAGGCTCTAGAGCGCAGGCTCAGTAGTTGTGGCACACAGGCTTAGCTGCTTCACGGCATGTGGGATCTTCCCAGACCAGGGCTCGAACCCATGTCCCCCTGCATTGGTAGGCGGATTCTTAACCACTGTGCCACCAGGGATTGTTTTTTTGACCCATTCATGTGAACACTCCTCAGCCAGAAGGTCCTTCAAAGCTGCACCTGTAGGGGCTTCCCTGGTGGCGCAGTGATTGGGACTCTGCCAGCTAATACAGGGGACATGGGTTCGAGCCCTGGTCTGGGAAGATACCACATGCCACGGAGCAACTAGCCCCGTGAGCCACAACTACTGAGCCTGCACGTCTGGAGCCTGTGCTCCACAACAAGAGAGGCCACGATAGTGAGAGGCCCACGCACTGCAATGAAGAATGGCCCCCTCTCGCCACAACTGGAGAAAGCCCTCGCACAGAAATGAAGACCCAACACAGCAAAAATAAATAAATAAATAAATAAAATTTTAAAATATATACATTAAAAAAAAAAAAAAGCTGCACCTGCGTGGGACAGTTCGTTTCTACCCCTAAGACACATAAGATAATGCTGGGCCCAAAAAAGGCATTCAGCAAACACTTAGGAATCACTACATATGCCATGGCCTGTTTATCTATTTGCTAATCTTGAGTCTATGACCCAGTTTACGTTAAGGAGCAGGCACCACATCTGAGCCAGGCTAGGAAGAAGACGGGACAACACTGAGTATTAAGGAAATGATTAGACAACAGCCCAGACAGACTGTGCATCAGAGTGTCTCTACACCGAGGGGAAGAAAGCATGGGCTCATCCTGCAGCAGACAAAGGAGGAAAGAAAGCAGGACGCATGCGGCACTCTACCCACCAATGGAGCAATTATGTAGGGGTGCCTGGAACAGCCACTTTCAGCAGAGTTAAAGAGGATGTGATCACACCAGAACGATGTTCCTGAGCCACTGGAGAAAGCCTCTAACACTCAAATATTCAATTCAGATTCTGTTAGTTTGGAGCTTGGAGGGGATCGGCAAAGTTCTTCGAGGCATAGATACTCAGAGCATGAGCCCTGCATCACGAGCCATTCACGAGCTCACTGGAGGCAGCCCAAGTTTTCTGGTAGAATTTAATCAAAGCTGCAAAGCTCTCTTTCCATGTGTTTCCTGAGAAGACCGCCTCCTGAGTCTGTCACTAAAATAAGGTGAGGAGGTTCTGTAAAGGTAAAGGCTTCAGAACAGAGACCCCATGCAGTACCACTCTGTTTAACTTCAGGATGCCAGAGGCTGTGTGAACAGGGATACAGGCACACAGGGGTGCACACCCATGCCTGTACAACTGTGTAGTGGGAGCTTCACATGTGTAAGGGTACATGTGAATCTCCACATATGTGTGACTGGCAGGTACATCTGCTACATGTATGAACACCTGCAAGTAATACTGCAGTTCCTCTGCCCCTCCCAAAAGGTTAAGAACCTACCGTGGCAACTGCTCTGCCCACCCTGACAGCGCCAAAGTCGTTGAGGTCCAAGTACTTGTTGCTGTAGAGGTAGACGCCAGAGGCGGCAAGAGCCATGCTGGTCCACGAAGCAAGCTTGAGAGCCCTCCGGGCCATGTCCCCAGACCCTGAAGAAGGAAAGCAGAGGAAGAGGAGCAGTTAAGAGTTTCCCAGGTGGTCAAATTCAAATCCGGGCTCTGCCACTTAGACTGCATGATCTCCAGTCATTTCCTCAATCTCGCTGCACCTGTGTTTCCTCATTTGTAAAACAGGAGGATACCTACCTCAAAAGCTGTTGGGATAAGATGAGATCGTGTATGTGAAGCGCTTAGCACAGTGCCCAGCATAAGTCAACTGTCAAAGTCATTCTTCCTTCAACAGTACCAGGCACTGTTCTAGGCACTAGGGAGAGAGCCAAGAAAACAGACAATGTTCTTACAGTCTAGAGGGGATGACAGATCACAAGCAAACAGACACGTATTAGAATAGCAGCAGGTATTCAGTGCTGAGAAGAAAATCAAAGTGGGTAAGAGGAAGGATGACGAATATGTGATGAAGGATGCTGTTTTAGATAAGAGAAGCGAGTGCGTGTTAACGACTCTTACGGAAACTATGACTGCACCACTAAGCGCACAAAGGCGTCATTAGCCCCCTATGCCCAGGTCAGAAGTAACCACAGCCAAGATGGCAGCTGGTCCGAGCAGCCAGGTAAGCCCTCCACGTCTGACTGATTTTCAAAATATTTATTTTGATTAGAATACACAGCCCCTCTTCTAGACTGTAAGCTCCTTGAGGGCAAACACCATGGCTGTTACTACTTGTCCACTCACAGCCCTCCAGGCTGCTTTCTGGTTAGGGGCTCAAGGTCCACCTGCTGATTTGCTCCGTTTCACCAAACTCACACTCCCATTCAGTGGGACCAAGTGGGCTCCTGGCTCCCTTTCCCCACCCTACTTGTACTGCTCAGCGTGCCAGGTGGCTGCACAGACAGTCTTTGGGGCCACTGTAGCCAGTGGGCAGATTCCCCTTCAATTCCTAGGAATTCTATATCAGAATAAAGTCCTTGCCCACAGCTGCAGCTGCCAGTGGAGAAGTCCCACCCAGAAGTGCCACCATCAAGCCACCTGCAGCTGCAAACCCGGCACAAATGCAGCAGGAAAATTTAGGTCATCACCCTGTTTGCTTCTGCCCTGGACTCAGTCTGTGACCATCCCCTCCCTGCTCTGTGCCTCTGTTTCCCCTTTGTATGGAAACAATTGCTCCAAACAGCCTTGTCTGCATTTTCTTTAAAGTCTATCTTGACTCATGCCTCATAATATAGTCACAGATTTTTTTTTAAGTATCCACAGGGACATATTTTTCCATTCTTTTACTTTCAACTTACACTTTATACTGTTTCTCTAAATAGCATATAGTTGATTTTGTTTGCATTTAACATAATCACTTATGTATTTGGATTTAATTTTACCATCTTCTGTGCTTTCTATATTCCTACCTGTTCTGTTCCTTTTTCTCTCCTTTCTTGACTTTTCTGGACCCAGTTCTTTTTATAATCCCATTGTTTTTCCCTTTGCAGTGTTCTTTTCCTAGCCAGCATTTCTAAAGTGTGGTCAGAGGAACTCAAAAAAAATAAATATCAATCTGGGTGCCATTTCAAAAATGTAGATTTCTGCTAGACTCACAGACATAGAAAGCAAGCTTATGATTACAAAGGGGAAAGTGGGGGAAGGGATAAATTGGGAATTTGAGATTAACAGATACACGCTACTATATATAAAATAGATAAACAACAAGGACCTACTGTAAAACATAGGGAACTATATTCAATATCTTATAATAACCTATAATGGAAAAGAATCTGAAAAACAATATATATGTATAACTGAATCACTTTGCTATACACCTGAAACACTGTAAATCAACTATACTCCAAAAAAATAATAATAAAAATAATAATAAAGAAAAAACATAAAATAAAAAAAAAAAAAGCAGATTTCTGAAGTCCACCCCTTGGCCCACTGAATCATCAAGGCTGGGGGTAGGACTCAGGAATCTGCATTTTAATAGGAAATATAATGGGTTATTTTTATGCAAAGTTTGAGAACCACTCTTCTAAATATTTCACTTTTAATAAAGAGAGGCTTCATGTGTTCAAATTCATCAGTGAAATCATGCCCCCTTCCAAGTTTATCCTACCCACTCACAACCCCAGATGACTGCATTCACCCCACAAGGATGACTGCAAGCAATTTTTTTTTTTTCTTTTTTTGGCTGCATTGGATCTTCATTGCTGCACGCGGGCTTTCTCTAGTTGCAGTGAGCGGGGGCTTCTCATTGCGGTGGCTTCTCTTGTTGCAGAGCATGGGCTCCAGGTGCACGGGTTTCAGTAGTTGTGGCATGTGGGCTCAGCAGTTGTGGCTCGCGGGCTCTAGAGCTCAGGCTCAGTAGTTGTGGTGCATGGGCTTAGCTGCTCCGCGACATGTGAGATCTTCCCGGACCAGGGCTCGAACCCATGTCCCCTGCATCAGCAGGTGGATTCTTAACCACTGCACCACCAAGGAAGTCCCATGCAAGCAATTTTTTTTTTTTTTTGCGGTACGTGGGTCTCTTACTGTTGTATTTTCTACTGAAAGGGGCAGCACGCTCAATGTCCCCTCCACCTTGTTTCTGCCAAGACACAGGTTGCCAGTTGGACCCGGACGCAGGCCTTAAATTAGGCTGAGTGCCCTCAACTCCTCACACACCTTCCTCCTTCAAGATCATCAGTTCGAAAAGGTCCATGAGGGGTGATCCAGGGACCTTCCTTGTGGGGCCTGCAGAAAAGCCCACACTAAGAAGGCAGTACAGAGCAACTGGTGGTCAGGAACTCAGCCTCTGGAGCCGGGAAGAGCCTCGGCTCTACTGCTCACCAGCTGTGTGACCGTGAGCAAACCACAACCTCTTAGAGCCTCCATTTACGAAAGAGGCTCTTGATAGTACCTACCTCATAGGGTCATTGTGAGAATTAAATGAGATGCTGCTTTAACAGAATGCCTACCATGCTCAGTAAATGAGACCTCTTCTCCTTATTGTTATTTTAAACTTCATTTCTTCTTCTCTGAAAAGCTGAAGAGCTTATATAGAAGAACTCCTAGCTCTCAGGGACCAGAATTCAGCACAACCTTGTACAATTAATAAAGGAGGTGGGAGAAACCCATCACATCTTGCCTGAACCATTCAACCATTCCCCATTCCAAACACTTCCCCACATCCCAGCCAACCTTCACTCTGCCACACAAGTCGTCATCATCCTAACCCACAAGTGCATTCTTATCACTCTTACCTACCCACTCTCTACCAAAAAGTCCAAATTCTCTAGCAAGGCATTCAAGGCCCACCCCATTCTCATCCCAACCCACCTTTCCAGCTTCATCTCCCAAAATATCCCCCCACACTCAATCCCGCATTATCCCTCTATGAAGTTTTGTCAGCCAATCACTCAGAGTTCCTTGCTCCTTCCTCTCTGGTCTCATTGTACACCGCTTTTACCTCTAATAATCTGGCCCTGTATCTGCCTCTTCCACTAAATGCAAAGGGCAGAATTCGCTAATAAATAATAAGTGAGTAAATAAGTCTGCTAAAAAAAAAAAGACTGAATGAATGAGAGAGTGAAAATTTCCCCACTCTATTCTCAACACGGAAACTTAAGTCAAACTCTGCATTCCTCTGCTCTAAACTCTCCAATGGCTCCCACCTCACTCAAAGTGAGACAGGAGGGAAGGGGACAGGGCACAACCTTTAAAAGAATGACACAGCCATTGAGGATATGACATAAACCAGTTAGAACCAATTAGGCCCTAGATGGCAGAAGATTCAACTTCCAGTGGACCTTGAGCCTCATTATATGCTCATTATGATACATTAGCTAAATGATACACCCAAAGGCGCCATGACAGTTCAGAGGCTGATCATAAATGGCCAAAAAGTGGGTGATGATCTAATTCCTGGAAATCCCCACCCCTTCCCCGAAATGATTGGAATAATCCTCCCACTTACTGGCCTATGAAATTACTCAGCCCATAAAAACTAACCACCCCATAGTTCAGGGTCTCTCGCCTTCTGAGACGGCCCACAATCTGTCTATGGAGTGTGTATCTCACTAAACAAACCTGCTTTCCCACTTAGTTCTCAGGCCAGAGCCCCCTTGCCTGCCTGCTTATATTCCTCACAAGTGTCCTATATTAATGAATCTAACTTCTTGCCTATCACTTTGCCTCTCACTGAATTCCTTCTGCGCTGAGACATAAAGAACATGAGCTTCAGTAAGTCCTGACACCAGGTGAGTGATTTTAATTAAAAGACAGTGGGTTCGAGTCCCAGCCCGTGGGCTCGAGTCCCAATAGGAGTTTTGGCTGGATTCAAATCCCATCTGAGGTGCAATTGGGTTCGAGTCCCAATCTGAGGTATGTGGTTTCAAAAGAGCCAAGGCCTTGGCGTGACCTGAGAGGGCCTTCTTGATCTGACTCCCCAGTTCCCTCCAGGGTTTCAGGCCATTCCACTGTCCCCCCTTGCTCACTTCACCCCAAAGGCACCAGCCTCCCTGCTATTCCTCAAACACGCCAGGCACATTCCAGCCTCAGTGCTTTTGCACTTGCTATTCTCTCTGCCTAGAACAGGGGTCAGCGAACTTTTTCTGTAAAGGACCATATAGAAATATTTTTGGCTTTGCAGGCTATAATATCTCTGTTAGAACTACTCAACTCTGGCATTGTAGTGCAAAGCAAAAGACAGCCATAGACACTATGTAAAGTAATGGGTGTGGTCAGATTTGGCCTGCAGGCTATAGTTGGCCATAACCTCGCTTAGCACATGGAATAGGTGCTCCAAAAGTATTTGCTGAATGAATGAATTAATGAATGGGTAAACTATACCCTATGAGACCTGTACAGAGTCAGTAACAACACAGATTCCCAGGTGAGAATCACAAACTTGAGCTGCCAATTCGACAGCCATCCTCCTCCAGTCACCCCCAACATCCGTCCCAGACTTCCCTCCCCGAACCCCATCCTCCTCAGGTTGCACCATCCTCCAGGCCTGTCCCTCTAGGTAATGAGACCACCCCAGCCTTAAGCCCACCTCTGAGTGGGGAAGCAGCAGTAAAGCAGACACAACTCCCAAGACCCAGTTTTCATGCAAACGTCTTCAGTAATAAGAGGTGGAAATTGAAAAACATAAAATAGATGATATAGGAGTCAAACTGTGTCTAAATAGACTGGAGCTGGAGTTTTCCATAAGGTGTCAGTGAGTCTTTAACATGTAAATGAGTTGCTTTCCTCGGGGTAGCAATTTTAAAAGACCCTGTAAGCCGTGAAATATGTCTGTCAATGAAAAACACCTTTCATTATTAAATCTTTTGCTAATGAATCACCTGCCCTGTTCTGTTTACTTGCGTTTTTTGACTTTCACCTGAGTTGTTTCTCATAACAGCACATCCTTTTTTTTGGTTGGGGGTGGGAGGGGGAGGTGCCTGGGGCCACTGGACCCTAAAACCTAAACATTAGATAATAATATTAGCAATAACTGATCTTTACACAGCCCTTTGCACTCATTATTTCGTTAGTTATTCCACACAACCCAGTGAGGTGAGACAGATATTACTACCATCCCCAGGTATAAATGAGGAAACCAAGGAGCAGAGAGGGTGAGTGATTTGCCCCAGGTGGCTCAGCTGGTAAATGGCAGGGTAGACCTTCAGCCCTTTCTCTTTATGGCACGTGACCTTCCTGACAGGGACTCGCAGACCTCCAATCCCCAACATTCTTAACCCCATTCTCAAGTAACTGCATCAGTCACTATGATTTCTGACCCTCTACCACCCCCAAACAGTGCCAGGCACAGGGAAGACACTGCTTGGCACCCTGGAAGTCAACAGCATGTCACAGATCAACAAAGCACCTCACTAGAAACCACCAATTCCAGGCTGTGAAACATTTAGGAGAGCTGTGTTATTGTCAAATCAAGGATGAGCATGGAATCCATCTCGCTGGACCACAGGAAACATACTAGCAAGCATTGAGACAAGGCAAGAGGAGAGTCTGGGAAGTTCTACAAATTAAAAGTTGATGGTCAAATGAAATTCCACCCTCTGTGCAGAACTAAATAGGAAACCAAGCACTTACTGTTCACAGGGCTAGGCCTTTTCAGCTACTATCCATCTGCTGCCTCCTCCCCATGCCACATTACAGGACAGTAAGCCTAGAATCACCACTCCCTGTTTGTTGCACGGGTGAGAATGGCCACAGAGGAAAGAATTTAGGGCTCCAATCCCATTAATCCCATAAAGTGACCACAGCTCCTCCTCCCATTTCCTAGAGAGACCGTTAGACAAACGAGCAGTATTTCTTTTGGTCTGCTCCCAAGACTGGAAAAGACCCAATAATACATTTGGAGACAGTGATCTGGCTTTCAGGGAAAATTGGTTATTGATGTAGATAAAAAGCAACCAAGGTGGATGATACCATCATGTCTCATATCAATGCTGAGGGACCATCTAGTTGACCTGAGCAGGTTTATAGCCTGCCCTGCCCTGCCCTGTAGATAGGAATGTAATCCAAATGTAATCACTCTCTTTCCTAGTATTTGATGCCCAGAAGGTGATTCAATCAATATTGATTAAAGGAATCCCCAACTGATGCCAAAGTCCCAGAGTAGACAGGAAAAATAAATCTCATCCAGGCAAGGAATAGAATTCTCCACTTACTTCATCC